GTGGAATCTATTGTTATGTTATTTATTATTTGTTATACTGTGTAGACTGTGTTGATAGATTTCTTTTATTGTTCAAATGTGGTGGGTGGACTGTTTATTTAGTATGCACATTTACCTGCTAGGATCATGACATTCTATTTTTAAGTGAAACAAACAGAAAACTATTACGCCTTGTGTCTTTTGAAATGGAAGATCCTTGGATGTGTTTTGAAGGCATTCACAGACTAGTAATTTTGTGTGTTTGAAGTGAGACCTCTCTCCTAATGGCTTGCAGTAGTTCCATTACAGAATCGGGTCTGTTCTTGAGTCTACATTGTAATCACCATCGTAGCCGCTATTAATGACTATAGTTTTCCTGTTACTTTTGCCTATAGAGAGCTCATAAGCCTTCAAACCTAACATGAATGTGCTACTATAAAGATCATCCCCTCGTGTGCCATTTTCAAGAAATGCTTCTTTGATGGTACTCAGCGTGTCCACTCTATTTGTTAAAGAATAGTGTTCAGAGGCTTTCGCCTCATAATGATAAGAGATGGCTTTGTCTTTCAGGAGATCTGTCTGCCTTCCCTCTACTTTCTTCTCTGCCTTAAAGGGACACTTTTCAGTTCAAATTTAGGACAATTCAGAATATTTGAAATGTGATAATCCTTAAATGTATTTTTGAAACTTAGTGGTGAGGTAGAAAACTGGGGTAGAAAATGGAAATTGTTCCAGTGATATGAAAAAAAAAAAGAGACAGGAGGACTCACTTTATTGTTTTAAATCAACTTTTTATTCATTTATGAATTCAATTACATTTTTATTAATTAATTAACTTAAATTTGTTCTTTTCCCATTTCATACATGTATATAATGCATTCTCATTACTGTCTTCTCTGCCCAACCCCTGTCGGTCCCCCTCCTCCCTATGAATCCCTTTGCTACATTCATATCTTTCTGTTTTTAAACTAACATTTTGCTGTTCTTGTCTATATTCTTTAAATGGATTAGAAAGCTCTTTGTGCAGGGATTGTTTTGAAATAATTAAAAGATGAAATATACTAATCTACAGAAAAACTTTGTTCACAGTACCCTTTTATTTTTATATAAAGTCTAATATTTGAAATGTAGTTATTGTTATAAAGTAAAATTCTTTCTTCCTATTCTCATATTATATCATATATTTTAAGCTTATATTTGAAAACTAGTACAAGAAATGAAACTATAATAAAATCCTATAGACATTGTTTTTGCTTCACTGGCTTATCACTGTTTTATGATAACTGCTTTTAGAATAATAGAAAGTTTTGTGCAATGTTGACCTAGTGTATATCCTATGAAAGTGAATTTAATAAAGTATATATATACATGTATAAAATACAGTATCTTAGAAGTCTGTCTCTTTTATTTCTGTGATAATTATTTTCTGCCACCATATCCCAAGAGTTTATTCTGTTTCTAATGGTAGGTCAAGTTTTGAGAAAAAGGTTATACAGCACACAAAAGAACTAACAGCTAGATTGACAATTTAAGCTGTTTATCCAGGCAGAGAGGAAACCTCTTCACATGATCTGTCAATTTTTTAAAGAGTATTTTGTAGCATTTAACAGTTTAGAAAGTTCTTGCCAGGTTACAAATATTTCTTGATTTTGATTTATTTTATCTTGTTTGTACATATTTATAAGACTATAATTTTTTACGACAAGATCATTAAATGGGCACATTAAATGACTCACATAATAAACAATTTTATCTTTGGTATTTAAAAAAAACACAACAAATACATTGTGAAATTTTATTATGATCAAAACCCAAAAGAGCCCAGAATAGTAGTGACACATGTCTGTAATCCTGGCTTGAGAGTCTGAGGCAGGAGGATCTTTTGTTTGAAACAACCTAGACTACATAGTGAGATCATGTATCAAAACAAGGGGGGGTGGGGAAAATTGGGCTGGGGCTGTAACTCAGTTGGTAGAGCACTTGCCTAGCATACACGAAGCCCTGAGTTTGATCCACAGCACCACGTAAACTCAGTGTGGGGGCACGCAAGAGGTGGAGGCAAGAGGACCAGAAATTCAAAATCATCCTCAGCTACATAGTGTGCTCGAGGCCAAGCTGGCCTCTGTGAGACCTTGTCTCAACAACCCCCCACAAAATGGGGAGGGGGACAAAAACACAACACCCAGTAGGATGCTGTCCTCTCTAGCTCTTCCCTATCAGCTTCATGCTTGGTGGCTGATTATTGAGGGTTGACCTCTGTCGTCTTCAGTATTTTTTAAAGAAACAGACCACTTACTTCTAAAAGTTTATATTTTAAAAGAATTTCATACTTACAGAAAAGTTGTAAGAATAGCCCAAAGACCTTTCATATACTCTTTACCCCAGTTCTCAGTTTTTACTATTGAACTACATTGGTTTTATCTTTTTTTTTTTTTTTTTTGGCTTTTTGAGAGAGGGTCTCCCTATATTCTTAGCTGGCCTTATCTCACAGAGATTAACCCATCTCTGCCTCCTGAGTACTGGGATTAAATGTGTGTGCCACCACAACCAGCCTTATCATTTAAAATTTTTTATTTTATTATTTTAAAATGATCTGTGTATACATCTGTGAGTTTGTGCACATGCATTCAGGGCTGGAGTTACAGGCAGTTGTAAACCGCTTGATGTGGGTGCTAGGAGTTGAACTTGGGTCCTCTGGAAGAGCAGTACACACTCTTGATTAGTAAGCCACCTCTCCAGCCCATTTTTTTTAAATTGATAGTTTCATACAGGCATATAAGCATATAACATGTTTAGATCAAATCCATGCCCACTCCCTCCCCTCCAACTCCTCCCATATCCCCCAATCAGTTTTTTTCTGATAATTTCATGTACTCTTTCTTCTTTTTTATGGGGATTTTTGCTGCTCTAACATTCCCCCCTCTGAAGAGGTAAACCTAAAATCTTTTAAGGATTAGATAAGAGCTCCCAAATACTTTTGACATTTTTGTTGCTAAGAAGCCCAAGAACACTTTGACTTTTAGCCAAGAAACTGGCTACTTTTCTTTGGGGTCTTTTTACACTAACTGCCTAGCCAATTCCTACCTCCCATTCTTATCATACCATCTTCTGAAGAGGTTATCCAGCTTGCACATAGGGAATTGGGACACAGACTGCTCTGGCCTCTTCCATGCTGAACAGGGACGCAGGGTGAGGCAACTGGGATACCCCTTCAGTGGGTCTATCTAAAAGACTCCCAAATTGCATAACTCTTATCTGTAGGGAGAAAAGAAAGTCCTTGACTGGTGAATAGGAGATGTGAAGGAGAAGTAAAGGCAAGAGTAATTAGCATTACAAGTTGTAGACAGGGAACTAGAAAAAAAGTTAAACAGGGCAAATTTCAAATGTTCATATGACAGTCCATTGGAATTTCGTAATGAGAGCTTCCAAAAGCATCCCTCTATTGGGTTTCTCTTCATTTTTCTTTTGTCTTCCAAGGCTGGACTCGAGAGTGATGGATTCAGGATTTGCTTTCAGGCATGTTTGATAGCAGTTCCCTCTCAAAGGCTTCTAGACAGGGGGAGAAAACAAATTTGGTTATCATTTTAGAACAATAGCGGTTGTCTCCCTTAGCTACAGGTGGGCACTACAGTATTGCAGAACCAGATTTGAAGTCTTACATCTGAGAAGTACGTTCTGACGCAGAACAAAATTATCAATGAGAAATAATCGTCTAAAAAACTTTTTATATGGACTTAAGCCTAATGTCTGAGAAGTGAAATCCCTTGAACTCTTAAAGAAATATACTGATGGCTCTACTCTTTGGTTATACTTTCCTTTTGGGTGTTTAAGACAATACAATTGGCCCAAATAAATCAATTTATATTTACACTTATGGTCGTTTGAGGATCTGTTCCTCAGGGGTCACATGGGCTTGGGAGGAGCTCCTGGCTCCTTTCTTTTACCAGTTCCATCTATGTGAAGATAAGTCAAAGGTCCTACTCGACCATGGCTAGCTTCACTTGGAAGCATGGAGGAAATATTTCCTCTGAGTTGACCCTCCTCTTTGTAGACTGGACACCTGTCCAAGTCCATCTGTTGGGGTCTTCATGGCCTTCCTGAACAAGAGCACAGGTGACTCATCACAGTTACAGGACATTTTGAGAGATGTTCCGTAGTCCCCTGGAACTTAGTTGACCTTGGAGGGCAAGGTCCAGCCCATGTTTTATCATTCTTTCTGCATGTGTGCATTCCCTCCCTCCCATTTGAGAGTAAATTCTGAACCATGTGAGAATAAGTTGTAGACGTGATACTCCGTTACCTTTCAATGCTTCAGAGGAAATTTCCTAACAACAAAAGCTTTTCACCTAACCACATTACAGCTATCAAAATTAGAAAATTAACTTTGATGGCAAAACTGCCATTAAAACTGAGAATGTGTTCCAATTTTGTCTGTGGCCTCAAAAAAATACTTTATCAAATGGAAACAAAACATTTTTTTCCTTGCCCAGGATTTAATCTAGACTTCGGTATTGCACTTGTTCATTATCTGTCAGTAGGCTCCTTCAATCTGGAAAATTGTCAATGTTTTTCTTGTCTTTTGTGATCTTTTCATGTTTGACTTGATTCCTCATGACCAAATTTGGGTTATGCATTTGGGGTAGAATTACCACAGAAATGTCCTCAGTGTATCATTTTAGAGGGGTCATGGGGTCATCTTGTCCCAGTATTAGTGATGGAACTTGGAGGCTTTTTTTTAAGTGATGTCTCTATCATGTTCCTCCACTGTGTGGTTAGTCTTTATCCAATAGAAATTAATAAAGTATTTTGCATAGAGGTATTTTGAGACTATACAGTGCAAATATCCTGCTTCCTTGTCTTTTGACCTTAAGTTTGAGTAACCATTAATCTCTCCTGCCTGATGGTATGATGGCCCCCTAAAGATAACTCTATAATTCCACATTTTTTCTATTAATTGATATTCTAC